GTATCATCTTTTCAAGACTTTCCAATGACTTGGTGTCTGGAATTCACTCTTGGTGAAGAGACATGGAATAGTAAAGTCGTGTTTGCAAAATGTGGGCCAAGAGGAAGTAAATACTCTGCCTGAAGTAACAGCTCCCCTAGAAAAGTTTAAAACCAAAGTATGCTTCATTTTTTTCTTTTTACCCCTTTACTTCCAAACAGAGATGATTTCCAAAGTGAAAATTTAAAACCTCGATGGGCCTTTTTTTTCCAAAGTCTTAATTATTTTTAACTTAATAAATAACTTTAATAAATAAATAAACTTTTAACTTTAATAAATTTTTAACTTAAGCTATAATCCTGTATCTGGGAGCTGTGGTTGTCCCCTGAAGTGCCACCATCATGATTAGAAGGTTCATAGAATCCTGCTAAGCAGAAGTAATAAAACTGTTTACATTTTCTGTCTGTAGGTGTTTTCTGCGTATATGTCTATAAACCACGTGTGTGCAGTGCCTGCAGAAGTCAGCAGGGGGCCCCTGGACCTGAATTACAGATAGTTGTGAGCAGCCATGTGGGTTCTGGAAGTTGAACCTATGTCCCCCAGGAGAGCAACAAGTGCTCTTAACTGCTAAGCCATCTCTCCTGTCCCTAGAACAACATTTAGGGGTATTTGTTTGTTTGTTGCTGTTTTTGTTTTTTGGTTTTTTTTTTTTTTTTTTTTGGTTTTTCAAGACAGGGTTTCTCTGTGTAGCTTTGCGCCTTTCCTGGGACTCACTTGGTAGCCCAGGCTGGCCTCGAACTCACAGAGATCCACCTGGCTCTGCCTCCTGAGTGCTGGGATTAAAGGCGTGCGCCACCACCGCCCGGCTTGTTTTTGTTTTTTGACACAGGGTCTCTCTACATAGTCCTGGCTGTCCTGGAGCTTTCACTATGTAGACCAGGCTGGCCTTGAACTCAAAGAGATGTGGTTGATATATTGTGCACACCAATAAACTTCTCTGGGGGTCAGAGAACAGAACAGCCATAATATTAAACATAGAGGTTAGGCAGTGGCACATACACACCTTTAATCCTAGCATTCCAGAGGCAGAGATCCATCTGGATCTCTGTGAGTTCAATGTCACACTGGAAATAGCCAGGCATGGTGACACACGCCTTTAATCCCAGGAAGTGATGGCAGGAGGCAGAATGGTATATAAGGCATGAGGACCAGGAACTAGAGCTGGTTAGGCTTTTGAGTAACAGTTCAGCTGAGATTCATTCTGGATGAGGACTGAGAAGCTTCCAGTCTGAGGAAACAGAATCAGCTGAGGAACTGGCAAGGTGAGGTGGATGTGGCTTGTTCTGCTTCTCTGATCTTCCAGCGGTCACCCCAATACCTGGCTCCAGATTTGGTTTTATTAATAAGACCATTTAAGATTCATGCTACAAAAAGATCCACCTGCCTCTGCCTCCCAAACACTGGGATTAAAGTCGTGTGCCACCACACCTGGCACCTAAAACAACTTTTAAATCCAGACAGAATGAATTGCTATCCTATGTCCCAGGAATGTTTCACTGAGGAAAAGGAAGCTTCTTGATCTATGCTATTTTCTACAGGAAATCGCCTCTCTCCAGGTACATCCTTCCCTCTGCATTCTGTAACAGGACACTTTAGGGGTTAAAGAAAGATGTTAAAAACTTGCCCCATTTGTTTCACTCGTATTTAATAACTACGATTCAGGCAAAGGTGTTTAATCTCCCTCTAATCTCTGGCGTGTTTTATCTTGGGTCTGCAAATGAACAGGCAGAAGCACAGAGAAGCTAGTAACTCAAGTCATGTCAAAGAGCACACAGATGCTAGAGGCAGCTCTGAAGTCAGATGTGGCCCTGGCCCCTCAGCCACCTCTCTAGGTTATGCCTCCCGGCATTCAATAAGTGTTTCTCCAGCATATGGAATTTTTGGATAGCTCCTTAGGTCATGGTCCTTTTGGCATTTTATACTCACACAATCCTCTCTTCTAAAAAAGACTTGAGTGATTATTTAGAATTATGATTTATTCACCCTATTCAGGTGTCACAATTTCCCTCTGAAATGCAACTCCCCCCCCCACCCCCGCCCCGGCCATACACACACAGTGCCTGGTTTTGAACTCTTGACTATTTGAGGGGACTGGAGAACCTTTAGGAGGCAGGCCTGGCTGGTAGATGTAGGTGTCTGAGGGCAGGATTTTGAAGGTTACAGACTGTCTCTGATCTCAGTGTTCTTTGATTCCTGATCTGCATCGAAGCAAAGTACCTCTAAGGCAATGAACCTGCCCAAGTCTTCCCCACCATAGTGGACTGAAAGCTGAGCAGCGAGTCAAGATAAGCCTTCCCTTCCTCCAGCTGTTTCTGTCAGGCATTCTGTTCATAACAACACAAGAGCAGCACACACCAAGCACACACTTTTCTAAAACTGTGTGTGTGTGTGTATGTGTGTTTATGTGGTTATAAACACATATACATGGGAGTGATCATACATGTATTGTTCGTGTGTATAAATTCCAGAGGTTGACATCAGGTATCATCTTCAATCATTGACCATTTCAGTTTTTGAGAAAGGCTCTCTCACTAAACCCAGAATTAACCCATTGGCTAAAATAGCTGGCCAATGAGCTCCAGCGATACACCTACCCTCTTGTTTCCCTCTCTCCTTTCCTGTTTAGCAGGGCAGTACCTACCTTTTATGTGAGTGCTAGAGATCTAGACTCAGGCCTTCCCACTTGTGTGGAGGGCACTCTACCAACTGAGCCATCTCTTGAGCCCCTGAACCTTAAGTAACAAAAAACTGCACTTGGAAAAGATTATCTGTGTCTTCTTGACCCACATCCTCGTATTTCGGTATAAACATCTTTAGTGGATACTAGGTGGCCACCTTTGTCATTGACAACAGAAGTATCCTATGTGTCACTGATCACAGCCAGACATGTACTTGATGAGAGGGTTTACCTGGTTTTCCAACATTTAACTAACATTCCCTCAAAATGAGACAGTACTGGAGGAGAAAACATGACCCTTGCTCTGCAGAAGCTCACAGCCTAAGGAATCTCCCTTTTGGTGAATTTGCAGTCCCTAAGGCAGTACATACCATTAAGTGATCTGCTGTGGGATGTTCTGTATGGCAGATGTGTTGCTCTGATTGGTTAGTAAATAAAACACTGATTGGCCAGCAGTCAGGCAGGAGGAAGTATAGGCGGGACAAGGAGGAGAAGAATTCTGGGAAGTGGAAGGCTGAGTCAGAGACACTGCCAGCCGCCACGATGACAAACAGCATGTGAAGATGCTGGTAAGCCATGAGCCACGTGGCAAGGTATAGATGTATAGAAATGGATTAATTTAAGCTGTAAGAACAGTTAGCAAGAAGCCTGCCACGGCCATACAGTTTGTAACCAATATAAGTCTCTGTGTTTACTTGGTTGGGTCTGAGCGGCTGTGGGACTGGTGGGTGAGAGAGATTTGTCCTGACTGTGGGTCAGGCAGGAAAACTCTAGCTTCAGTGATCCCACCTTCATAAAGGCAAGAATCACAGCAAAGAAGTCTCTTGGAGAAATCTCAACTTGCTTTATGGAAAAGGCTCTTGTCTTAGTTAGGTTTTTATTGCTGTGAAGAAACACCATGACCACAGCAACTCATATAAAGGAAAACATTTAACTGGGGCTCACTCAGAGGTTTAGTTCATTATTGCCACAGCAGGAAGTAAGGCAGCATGCAGGCTGACATGGTGCAGGAGAAGGAGCTGAGGGTTCTTGCATCTGGATCTGCAGGCAACCGGAAGTAGTCTGAGACACTGGGCATGACTTGAGCACATATGAAATCTCAAAGCCTACCTCCACAGTGACACACTTCCTCCAACAAGACCACACCTACTCCAACAAGGCCACACCTCCTAACAGTGCCAATACCTCCTAACAGTGCCAATACCTTTTGGGGGCCATTTTCTTTCAAACCACCACAGCTCTCAGAGGCCAGCTTCTCACCCTAATCTTCTTTCAATAGTGCTTATTGGCCAGTACAGAGATGACCAAATCACAGGTAAAGCCAGAGTGGAAGAGAACATAATCTAACTGCAACAAGCAAAGCTAAGGAAATCAGTGAGCTACCTCTGAGCGGGACTGAAAGTGGGTAGATTTGCATTTCTAAAGATAGACAGCATGTGCATGTGATAAAACAATATGATCAAGCAACGCAAAATGAATTTTCCTAACCCCCCCCCCCCCACTGTCAAACCTCTTGTAACTTGGGTTTTGTGCTTATATAATGGCCCTGACTTCTGGGCACCTTATCATAGACAGAAGGCTGGCCTAGGGATGAATCCCAAGAGTGAGCAATAGAGAGTCAATGCTGCCTAACTGTTCCAAGCCTGGTGCTGGGTGCATAGACCAAGCACTGAGAGGCGAGTAGGGGACACAGAGTCAAGCCTTCCACACTTAAGGATCGCCGTGTAACTTTGCTAGGCAGTACCCATCCTTTATGGTTAAGTATACAGTTAGGAGCACGATGAGACGTTCTGGGGTGTTTTTTAAATGTTCCCAAGGCAGGCTGGCCAAGCTGCCATTTGGATCTTCTTTGCAGGGATGCTGCAGCAGGTGTTGCCTGTGGGACTCGGGGTGATGCCTGATAGAGATGAGAAAGCCTTTAAACGTTTGCCTTCCTAAAAAAAACATTCTCATTGCATCTCTGAGTACCCAGCTGGTGTTTATCCTCCACGGTAGCAGATCAGGTTATTTATCGTCCTATTTCATGATGTATTTTATAAAGTAATGAATGGTTCATTAAACTAAGTTTGGGCGTCAGTCTCCTGACAGCCGCCTACTCCACTGTACCCTTAGCGGGGGTCCTGGAGGCCGTTGGAGTGGGCTCCAGCCTCGCAGCCTCCTTTCTCCACCCCCACTTCCCCTTCTGCCCTCCGTCCCCCGCACTCCTCCCCCTGGTTATTTAGGAGATTAGAGTTCATTAATTAAATCCTGTGCTTAGATCGAACTGTAACACTATTCCAATCACATTTATCTTGCAGGCGGCAGCGGAGATGGCAACCTCGCTGGAAACGCGCGGGGGAGCCTGAGCCGGCAGCCGGAGACGCTCTGCTCGGCGTGCTCCATCGCCCCGCCGCCTCGCAGACCCTCCATCTTCCTGCTCAGTTCCGGGCCAGGCTAGCCCCGGCCCCCGGGGTGGGGTAGGGGGGGTGGCTCCCGCTTCTCCTGGGGCTCCAGGTCGTTCCCCACCCCCTGCCCTCCGCGACTCAACTGCCTGGGTCCCCCCCCCCTCCCCCGCCACACACACTCACACGCGCCCGCGAGCACACACGCACGCACACACACACACACACACTCACACGCCAGCAGGCTGCTGGCCGCTCAATGGACCGATTTCCCCGGTTTCCCTGAACCCAGCTTAGCCCGGGATGAGAAATTGCAAAATGGCCCGAGTCGCCAGTGTGCTAGGGCTGGTCATGCTCAGCGTGGCCCTGCTGATTTTATCGCTTATCAGCTACGTGTCCCTGAAAAAGGAGAACATCTTCACCACTCCCAAGTACGCCAGCCCGGGGGCGCCCCGAATGTACATGTTCCACGCGGGATTCCGGTGAGTGTGGGCCTCTGTTTGAGCGCCCTCGGGTATCTTGGGCTGGTGGTGTGTTTGGGGGACAGACAGAAAAGGGTGTTGGGGCTTCTCGGTAACTGCGTGGTCCTTTCACTCCTTTTTCTGCTTCTCCCTTCTTTCTCCACTTTATTTTTTAACCCAAAGCCCCTACAAGCCTTTGTCCTAATCGATGTGATTGGATTTCTCCTATTCTTCCTCTGCGTCCCCTCCCCCATCTCAAAACTGGGGTGTTGGTGGTAGAGCAAGAGGCGGTGTTTGGAAGGCGGGAGGGGGTGTTGAACCCTGAGATGGGCAAGGCAAGAGGTGGGAGCCCTGGCTGTGCGCTAGCGGCGGGCTCGGAAGGCCTGGCTGGGGCGATTTAATGGCGCAGGCGCCAACTGCTCTCACACCCCTCCCCTCCTCCCTTTCTCATCTAATGATGCGCAGGTTTATTCTCTTGAAGCCCCTAGGGCTTTTTTCCTCGACCCTTCCCCCGCCGCCACCCGCCTCCTCCTTTCCTGGATTTCTGCAATTCCTCGGCCCCTGCGGGAAGCAAGCCTTATGCTGAGGGCCGCCCACCCTCGCCCGGTCGAAGTCACCGCGGGGCGCAGCCTGCTCCGGCACAGCTCATCTGGAGCCCCACCCCTACCTGTGCCCGCAAGGAGCTCTCCCCACACCGCTTCCAGATGGGCGGGTGGCGACCACAAGCTGTACCCTGTGAGCCAAGCTGGGCCGGGGATGTGGAACCTGAAGAAGCCAGGCCTGGACAGAAGCGCCGGGCTGCAGGCAACCTCTTGGGGTCTCCAGCTAAGGGCTGAGAGTGCAATCAGACTTGGGCTCGGGAAGGAAAAGGTTAAGGCTGGAAACCCACCCCCACCCCCACCCCTTTCTCCGGAGTCTCGAATTTCCTCTGCCCTTTCTCCAAAAATCAATTCTCAGGCCGCGCTCCGGTGCCTGGGTCCGGCCGGAGGAGGCTGCTGTCCGCGGTGCTGACTCAAAGTCCCCGCCGTGCCGCGGACAGCAGCCCTGCACCGGGCTTCGACCCTGGCTGTCTGCGTGACCGCCATCTTTTTTACGGTCTCCCCTACAGCCGGAGGGCTGGACAATGAGGAAGAGTTTCCCCCTTTTCTTCCTTTCTTCCGGGTGTGTGTAAAAGCAGAGAATGTGCCAAAGGAGAAGGGCCGTGCGGTGGGCCTGCCCGTGTGCCAGCTGCCCCCTCCGGTTGTTGCTGGAGCTGTCACAGCTCCGTGGGTTCCCTTGGCTGAGGCCAGCGCCTGTCTGAACTCATGCTCCTCTTTAGGTCACAGTTTGCGCTGAAGTTTCTAGACCCGTCATTTGTGCCCATTACGAATTCTCTCACCCATGAACTCCAAGAGAAACCTTCTAAATGGACATTTAATCGGACCGCGTTTTTACATCAAAGGTAGGGTAGGAAGAGAGGTTGGTGGTGGTGGTTGTTGTTGCTCTTAATTTTGAAACTCAATAAAACACACAGCACAAAAACAAATCCAAAACCATCAAAAAGCAAGCAAGCAAGCAAGCAAACAAACAAACAAAGCTACAACTCATCTCACCCACCTGCAAGTGTATATGGGCTTTGTCCAATCCTAAATGCAAGCAGAGACAGTGAAAGGCCGTTCCTCTCAAATGCTTGCAGTGAGTGCCCTCTAAAAAGGAAGAAACAGGATGGCCAGTATCCTTCCTAGTTTGGCCTTGACTGAACACCATGATGTAAAGTCTGGCTGCACCCAAGTTGTCTTTTTTCTTTTTTTTCAAAAGGGAAAGAAATGATTAATTGCAAGCAGATGATCCTTTACTTAAAAAAAAAAAGTAGTTATACAATCTTATTGAAACCTTATCACATCACTAGTAGAGATGCTGGGCCCAAATATATGTATGTAAACATGGCTTTGTTTGGGTTTTGCCTGATTGTTTCCAGTAAGCCTTTGAAGCTTTAGTAACTGTAGTAGCCTGTTTTTATTTATGAAGAAGTTTTGTCTTTATTGTTTGGTTTTGTTTTAGGTGGGAGAGAAGAACAAAATTAATTAAATCTTAGTGGTTTTGGTCTCAGAACCATAGACTCCCCCCTCCCCTCCTCGCTGGGATTGTTATGCCACTAAATGCGATGTGAGCCATCTAGTGTATTCATTAGAGCTGTGAACACTTACTTTACAAACCAGTAAAGGAACTGTGTTTTTGCCCTGGCATTTATTGTCACTGTACCTTTTGAAAAATTACAATCTACTAGCAGAATCAAAAGAAACACATAGTTTCAAAAAAATGTTTTTTAATTGATATAATCATAGGATTATGGTTACAGTTATTTAAGTATTTGTGCTTAATTATAAACTAGTTTGTGGCCATTAATTCTAAACCATGGAAGTGCTTTTCAGCTTTGGCCTTTGGGATTTTCATCTAAATTTAATTTTGCAGACAATACAGACAGTTTTCAAGGTAGAAAACCTTACACCAGTCACCCAAATACGTCTCTAACTTGATTACAGTATTTTCCTACACTGAGCCAAGTCTCCCTATCTACCAATCAAAGTAACACTGCCTTCTCCAAACTTCCTGCCTTTCAATCCGTTTCTTAGGAAATCTTTAATTAATTTTATCATTGTCATTTTAAGTTGTGTTTGTAACCACTGTAAGAACTGTGCTGGGAACTGAAAACTGAAATGATTGTACCAGCCTTCATTGTCCTAGAATTTGATAATATTTCTTTTCACCCTGCTGTGGTTTAAACAGAAGGCACTGGAGTTTGTTTGCTTTCTTGTAACTGGAGAATGTGAAGTAAAAGTAGCATGTTGCTTGTCCCTCAACTATTTAAAGTGTCTGAGAGTTAAGAGAAGACAGTTATACAGAAAGCTCAATGTGAAATCAGCTGAAGTCAATTCTAACTGTCTCTTTTCTCTTGTGTTTTTTCAGGTTTCAATGGCTTATTTTTTTTATTAGCTATATCCTACTAAAGTGTAATTTCAAATAATCAAGCAGAAAAATAGATCCATGCTTCATTATTCAGCAGGCCTTAATGAGATTATCATCTCATTTCTACCTACTGCTCTTCCCATTTTCATATTTTAATAATAGATAGTACTGTACTATGTACTGACCCATATCTATTTAGCTTTATTAGACACCTGTAGTATTTTATATTCCTGAGCACTACACTCCAATAGCAAACAAGTAATCCCTAGTTACAAGCTCTAAGTCGCCAATGTTTGTGCGTTAATGTGAGCTCTTTGAGGCCTGTGTAAATTGTCTCCCTGTATTTTCTAACACAGTTTGGCATCTGTCTCCTCCCTAATCAAACACACTCTTTGAATAGACCAGAATACCAAGAAATAGTGGCTAAACTGTACACTGAATTTACTAATATCCAAATATTCTATATAGAACTTGACTGAAATATATTGCCATGCCTGTACATTATAAAAAAAAAATACAGTCCTCCCTTTGGAGCCCACAAATATGAATGTGTACTTGTACTTGAATATGCTTAAGGATCTTGTCTGAATTAAATAGAAGCATAAGATGGAAACTTGGTTCTTTTTGAAAGGAATGCATTTAATGAATCTTTCTTTATTTTAGGCAAGAAATTCTTCAGCATGTCGATGTAATAAAAAATTTTTCTTTGACCAAGAATAGTGTTCGGATTGGACAACTGATGCATTATGACTATTCCAGCCATAAATATGTTTTCTCTATTAGCAATAACTTCCGCTCACTGCTCCCAGATGTGTCCCCCATTATGAATAAGCGTTATAATATTTGTGCCGTGGTTGGAAACAGTGGAATCTTGACAGGGAGTCAGTGTGGGCAAGAAATAGATAAATCAGATTTTGTTTTTCGATGCAATTTTGCCCCTACGGAGGCTTTCCAAAAAGATGTTGGGAGGAAAACCAACCTCACAACCTTCAACCCCAGCATCCTGGAAAAATATTACAACAATCTTTTAACCATTCAAGACCGTAACAACTTCTTCCTCAGTTTAAAAAAGCTCGATGGGGCCATTCTTTGGATCCCTGCATTTTTCTTCCACACTTCTGCAACCGTAACCAGAACGTTAGTTGACTTCTTTGTTGAACACAGAGGTCAGTTAAAGGTCCAGTTGGCTTGGCCTGGAAATATAATGCAACATGTCAACAGGTGTGTATATTTTATTACATTTAACTCATACCCCACCAGATGGCAAATCAATATTGTAATCTCTTGGACATGGGAGCTATCTAGTTCACTAGACATTATGGTTGGTTTAGTTCTTGGGGAAAACTCTTATCTTTTTAATGAATGAATGGATCATTCTAGTTAAAAAGTTCAGTTTATTCTTAACTGGCAAGCAAGTGCTAAATGTTTATTCCTAACTTGTAACCAAGTGCTAAATGAAAAGTCTGTTTGTCACTCACTCCTTTTTATTTTTCCTATCCCCCTTCTTAGTGCACAGTCACAGAAATCAGAACTCAAGAACTGCCCTTGTACAAATAGGTATATCCTGGTAACACCAGTGGCTAAATTATACAATGCAATTTTTTAAAGAAAATAACAGTCTAGAAAAGAAAAAGAAAAAATGATAATTGGCTTTAAAATACCCTTTTTGTTCGGAGTTTAGGTGTTTGTAGATCTGTAGGACTAAGAATCCCCTGGATAAATCATAAATGGCATAATCTGCTTTTGTTATTAAATGTTTGCGTATTTAAGGAGCTCTATGCTGTGCCTTATGGCCTGACAGGGAGACTGGCTGGAGATTCAACGTTTTTATCTAATCCAGTAACTTTCTGTTCTGCTGTTTATAAAAATCAGAGTTTTAAAATACAGTATTACTATCTGGACTGTGCTTGAAAGATTCAATGTGGTGAGGGAGACGAGGACCAAGCATTTGATGTATTTTTAACAACTTCTCAGATAACTCTAATATGCAGCCAGAAATGAGACAACCATCCATGACATTTTTAAAGGAAAGATTAATTGTAGAACTCTTTTTCTTTGACTCATCTGAGCATTGCTTCAACTCCCAAGCCCTCCTATGTAAGGAACCCAGGCATCACACCAGAGCACAGGTCTTATTATAAGTTCAGACGGGTTCTAGAAGACCCAGTAACCAGATGTTCATGTTCTAATAGATATTCGCTTCCTGTTATTTCCTAAAATCTTCTAAATTTAAGATCTGTTTAGTTGAACTTCCATTGAAAGAGAACTCATGGTCTAGAAAATTCGTTTGTTTCCAAAATGAAGGGTAATTGCATTATTTATAGTCCAAACTGGGACCTTTTCTTTGAGAATATGCATGTGATGAGTAATTACAACAAGGCAGCATACGTACTCTGGTACCATTCCCAAGAATGTAAGAGATAATGGAACTGGACCCCAAAAGTTAACGACTGAAATATAGGCCAATGTCACTACTGAAAATGGGAAGAGACCTGAGTCATCTACCAACCTATCCCTAATCTTTGACTTCACCATTTTGCTCCATTCTGCTCCATTTTAATTCAAGTTTTATAACATTTTAAATCTTATCTAGAAGGGGACAGGCCAGTGTAATGGGGCTAGTGTATCTATCCATGAAACCTAATCAGTCTAGACAAATCTAGCTCCCAGCCCTGGATATTAACTTACCTGACTGAGACCTTCAGCACCCACCAGTGAATCTGCATGTACTTATCATTCTCCAGGTACTGGAAAAACAAACACTTGTCACCCAAACGACTGAGCACAGGCATCCTTATGTACACTCTTGCATCTGCAGTCTGTGAAGAGATCCACTTGTATGGATTCTGGCCTTTTGGATTTGACCCCAACACAAGGGAAGATCTTCCATACCATTACTATGACAAAAAAGGAACCAAATTTACCACCAAGTGGCAGGAGTCTCACCAGCTGCCTGCTGAGTTTCAGCTGCTGTATCGGATGCATGGTGAAGGGCTCACCAAGCTCACTCTGTCACACTGTGCCTAAGAACTCCAAACGGAAAGTGCCAAATGGCTGTTTTAAAAGTGCCCCCCCAAACCAAATTGAATAGTCTCCAGAATAGAACCCCAAAGACAATCTGGCAAAGCTTGTCTGCCACTTACACGGAAGGATGCCTTCTCTTCCTCCTCTGCACTGCTCTTTAAATGGTCTTAGCAGACTTAGGACCGGTGCATTGAAGCCACGTGAGTTAGACTTGATTGGTAAAGGTGATACTGCATTTGGAAGCACGCTGCACAGAGAATGGCTTGAAATAGCTGAACGTTTGTATTTTAATAATAAACTGACTCCCATGTGGATGAGCTGTCATCTCCTCCATGGCTGTCCTCTCTTGAGCCCTACTCCGATACGGTCCTCATAATCAGAGAGTTCAAGCCAGCTTCAGCAGGATCTCTTTTGCCAGGGGGATCAGAGTCTTCAAAAACAAAAAATAAAAATCTGGTTTGCAGGTTGCATATCTTCTCTCTCTCTCTCTCTCTCTCTCTCTCTCTCTCTCTCTCTCTCTCTCTCTCCCCTTCCCTCTCACGCCCCCACACTGATCCTGTTGCCCTAGTACCATTGAATTTAATAATTTGTTAGGAATAATTCTGGATTAACTTTGCTTGTATGTGTTTGCATCTGTGCTTGATGTGTTCAAGACTATGGGTAACTTTGGTGTTTCATGACAAACTGAAAAAATTATGACTTCCTTCATGATGAATTCTATAGAAAATGTCTCTTAACAAGGCCTCACTTGTCCATACTGTTATTCTACAGTAGGGTAGTCTATCTGGGTAGAGTGGCATATGGTACAGTGCCTCTTTTTCTGTCACAAAGAAAGTCCATACTGTGGCTGGCTTGAGTACAATTGTGGGAGATCCTACAAGGACCTTCTAGCCTAGGCCTTCAACTGTCTCATTTCAAGCACTGGGCTGGGCACTCTCAGAACATAGAGGTACTTTGTTGATTTAAAAGCCTGGGGAATATGAAGAAAAGAGACGTATGTTTGCAAGCTAAATACTCTATAAAGTGTTGTGACCATTTTAGAAGCACAGCCTTGTGATGGAAGACAAACTAGAGCTTTGGCCAGGCTGACCCCTGTGTGACTAATGTTAGCATTAGTCAGGTCAGATCCTTTCTGTGACATCCCCACAAACAACCATCTAGACCTGCTTGGTTTCCTTGAGACAGTTGTAGATATTATTCTCTGTCTCCACTGAAATCAAGTCTGTGTGCCTATACATCGAGCATTTCACACACACACACACACACACACACACACACACACACACACACACACACACACAAAGCCATTATGCAGTGGCGAGACTTGGTCCTAAATAACCTTTGGAATCTGAGATCAGCTGGCCATTGTTCTCCTTGCTTCAGCTGCATCAGGAGAAATCACATCTCTCCCATCCCAGGCTTTTACACTGAGCAGTGCTTTGTTCTTCCAATTCAACCCAAAGTCTGGCCAAGTTGATGTTAAATTTTAATAAGAGTTTCTTTCCTCTTTCCAAGTGCCTGTGGAGCACATTTGTTTTATGTTCCAGTGGGGCAACTCATTCTTTTCCAGAAATCTCATCTAGGTTGCTTATAGTGTTGTAAATCCCTTTGAAAATCGTTAGTTCAGTTGTCAATGCACTGCCCCTCTTTGGGAAAAAACAAGCATGACTAAAAAGAAGTGCAATAAGGAGACACACAGTTCTTATGCTTATGTACCGACTGGTCCTGAAGCTGCACTGTTCTTTGGGAGAAGCTAAATCTGACCCAGATACAATCTAATGCAAGAAAACAATTCAGATCCCAACACAGTACCAACCGTGGCACAGCTTACACCCTGTGAATGTCAATCATTCAAACAGATGAGAGGAAATAGAGGTAAATATTTCAAAATAAGAAGCACTAACTATACACAGAATAATAAGGAAATTAAAATTATGTGCTATTTAAAAAAAAACCTTTAAAATTCAATGATAATTTCATGGACGTGAAAACTAGGCCATGACTGTGCCCTCTCACTTTAAACCACACCATGGCTGTGCCCTCTCACTTTAAAGGGCATGGGATACCATGCAGCTACTGTCCTGCCATGATGGGTGTGGGTTATGGAGAGACTGATAGCTGACAGAATTGCATCTGTTATCATCAGGATTGAAAGGCTTGGCTATTCCTGAGCACTTAGTTCGTTTGACTGCAGTTCAGGGATATTAAATCCAAGATTATCTAGGCTGGCTTCTAACTCCGGAGCTTTAATCTCAATGTGCCCATTAGACCTTACTAAATAGAAATTGGGACTCTGCACCGGACAAGATGAAGTACCAAAAGACCAGAAAATCCCCAAACCTAGTTTATTGTTCCAAGATAGTCTATTTCAATTTGATCTCATCAGAATGTTCTGAGGTTTGTTTGTTTTTAATTCGGGGAGACTTTTTAAATCTTACTACAGCCTTGCTCCCTAACTTTAGACTAAGAAACCCTTCCTGTCCTCTACTGTCCCTTCCACTATAAATATAGGAGTTCAAAATCGTAAGAAAATGGACTTATCTTGGGCTCAGAAGGGCTTGGAGACTAGTTCAACCCTGCCTCTAGGAAGGATTTCTTGAGCTGATCCTCACATCCTGCTTATAATATAACAACAAATAATAATGAATTACCTGAAAAAGATTCCAGGCCCTCCTATACTATTCAACCACAAATTTACACTTTTAAAAATTCCTTTACACCCAGGTGGTGGTGGCACACGCCTTTAATCCCAGCACTCGGGAGGCAGAGCCAGGAGGATCTCTGTGAGTTTGAGGCCAGCCTGGTCTACAGAGCGAGATCTAGGACAGGCACCAAAACTACACAGAGAAACCCTGTCTCAAAAAAAAAAAAAATCCTTTACAATGTAAATCTCTCCAATTGTAAAAAAACCTTGGGTACAAAATGTTGGCAGAATATTTATTGCAGTTTTCCCTGTATAGTAAAAGCCTTTCTGGCTATTTTACCATCAGCCATACCCTTGACGTGCTAATCCAATGGTTTGGAAATGCAACCATCAGCCGATCCTACAAAATCTCTCTGTTTTCCAAGACGATTTCAAACTGTAACCACTGTCATGATGGGAAGGTTTCCTTATCAGAAAGGCAGCCAGAATTTGTCGTCTCTCCCACAGTCCCCAGGCTTGTAGACTCAAGTGCAGTGGACAGAGCAGAGGGACCATTGGGCCTCCTGTCTGTGCAGCTACACAGTCACACCCCTGCCCCTCTACGTTGGCCTCACTTGGTTGGGTCTGTTTAGTTAGTTATATTCTTTTGATAGAAACATTCTCATTTTTTTTGGCTACTTAGAACAGAGTACACCATTGGCTATGTGAATAAATTTCACCATAAAGCCCCCAAGGATGTCTGAGAATGACTAATTAAGCTGCAGAGGAGAAAAGGAAACCCACAAACCCTCGGCAGCCTGTTCATCGCTAGACTTTTGGTTTCATCCATTGTTCTAAAGTGTCAGGTGGATAATTATTGGAGAAGTTATCATTTCACATCTTAACCTTATCAGGATCGAAGACAAACTCAAAGGAGAACAATTTGGGTCTAGAATCTTTGGGATACGAACGTAGCAGTGAAGGGCTGTAAGGGAGAAAGGGGAAAAGGTTACTAAATCCACCTGCTCAGGTACACAGCAGTAGAGGAGACATTTGCCCAGTACACAGCCGTCTGCTGAAAACCACCCACTCCCCCTTGAAATAAGAGAAAAACCGCTTGTTACATCATTGTCTCATAAATCCCAGTTCAGTTATTGATGGTGTATCACTGACAGCTGAAAGCATACCTGATAATATATTCATCTTAATAAAATCTTGTTTTAATAATGTGTATGCATGATTTAGAAGTTGAAGGCTGGAAGTGACTGTGTGCTTTTCCTTGTATATAACTTCCAGCAGGGGCCCCTTGAGTTAAGAAATGTTTTCCATGTTGTAAGTAATTTCAACAACAGTCTTTGAATTGTTGTATTAGTTTAATTCATTAAGATTGTACAAAGAGAAGTGAATAACTTCGACGGTTCTTCATTCCTTTCAAATGGCATTCTGAGGACTTTTCTGTATAGTTCTGGGTCCTCAAAGCCTTATTTCTCATAACTGCTTGAATGCATCAGGCAAACATTTGCTTAGCTTCTATTACTTCCCAAATGTGGATGACTGACCTTTTGACTACAGAGTCACGGCTGTGTGTGTGTGTGTGTGTGTGTGTGTGTGTGTGTGTGTGTGTGTTTGAAGAGCGCTGATGGGACACCACAGGCGCTGAGAATAGAGGGCGTCTTGGCCAGTTCATCTAGGCCACTTTATCTGTGGACCATTTACTCAAGGCCACTCATGAGTTGACGCCAAGGACCAAAATGACTAATCCTGCCTCTCTTGCACTCTGGCTGCTTTGCCACAAAAATCTAACGCTTCAAATGGGAAATGTTTTAGGATGTTATTGTTTGCTATGTAATATTTCTGAACATTTATTTTTATTGTGATGATTTGTTGAAGATGTGTGTAATTGAATAGATGCTTTAATCCTTGGTGAAGTTCCTTCTCTTATGTCAGTAGAATCAGTGAGGAGCTGCTGCTGAGTAATTGACTCTAGTTTCAGATAATGTTGGGGTGCTGGGATTAGGGCCTGGTGGGTGTTCAATGTATCAGCAACACTGAACATACTGAGGAGCACCTTGAAATAGAATTCTTGCTCCTCAATCCACATTTTGAATCGTTATATCCTGAGATAAGTCCAGCCTAGGAAAATCCCTGATTGGTTCTGATGTGACATATGAAAACTAATAGTGTATTTCACAGTCAAATATATTTATACAACTTTGACCGGAGCCATTGAATGCTGATCATTCCTTGGATAATTAGTACCAAGTATTCCTTAAAGCTATTGCGGGATATGACAATATAGACAAAGTCTTAGTGACTCAAGTGTCCACTTCTAGCCAAACCATCTACTACTTTTTAAGTTCATAGGAATCTGTGGGTGTAGTCAGAATAGATACAAACTGGCAGATGAAGTGAGGAGCACAGCTCTAGTGTACTTCACCCCAAGGCTAGTTCTTTATATTTCACTGTGTTTCAAACAAAGAGGCAAATCTCTGGCCATTCATCTTCATAAATGGATAAACCAAGGAACAGAGAAGTTCAATGATTCATTCAGGTTCAATTTGGGATTCATCCCCAGAGGCTAAAGGATTCCTCAGGTGGTCTGATTTCTCAACCTCTGAACAATGCCTCAAACGGAGGAATGCCTCCAATGCTGTGATATTTGAGCTAAAATGAAACCACCACTGCCCCTGCCCCCAAAACAGAAATTTGTAGAGCTAAAAATCTAAGACCAAAGCACATAAGCAAGGTGTTCAGTTGTTTCTAGCCCCTGTTGGATAAGGTGCCACTGTCCTTTTGAAGTTTCAGGCCATGCTTCTCTCTTTACTGTGCACATGAAAAGCCCTTGATCATCACAGGTACCCAAGGGCACCTTTGATTTCCTTCTGTGGGGTTGAGAAAATGGTTTTGTCTCTGCCGTGCAGCTAGATGTTTAACAGCTGCTCTGGTAAATAAGTATTTACAAGTTCCCCTGTATACATAACCTCATCAGACCCAACCTCAAGCTACTAACTTAACGTCAGCCAGCTCAAATGTGCCAAGGCTCCCCAGAGCCAGCATGAATTGGCTTTGACGTATGAGCTGGTTCCAGCACAGCACTGCCTGAACAATTCTGAATCAGTGAGTACCAACTAGAAGCTGGGAGCAGTGGCTTTGGAGGATGTTCAAATGCCCCTATCAACAAGACAGCAAATCTACCTTGGTCAGTTTACTAATTCCTATACACTAAAAAAAAAAAAAAATAGGAGCACATTATTATTGTTATTATGCCCTTTAGGTTAAGGCCCTAAGGTGTCCGAATATTTCTTAGCCATGTGGTGATGAGAGTCTCTCAACAGGTCCTCAGCTTAGGAGATTGTCAGCCATGGCTTTCTTAATGTCAAGGAGTGACCTTCTAGGTAAACATCCTCTAATTTAATTGCCTGTTAAAAGCATGTTTGGGTGAGTTTTTGCTTGTCCGCTTGTCGTCCTTCTGACAACACAAAATTCACAGGCATTCGTCAAGCTGCAAAGAGGCAGACAAGATGCTGTTCGGCTTATCTAGCCCTAGACACCTGCAAAAGCTCCTTGGCTCATAGTCTGCCCCATCGCCACCACCAAGGGAGGCTCAGCCTCATGCCTGGAGCTTGCGTGAGTAAACAGATGAACGCTTCTTAAAGATTAAGTCGCAATGATCCAAAGACGTCACTGCATTGGAAGACCTCTGGACCACTTCAGAGGCTGAGCAGACAAGATTGGCAGGGTAAGGTGCCCTGTGCTGCTCTCTTCACAGCTTAGCTAGTTATAAGTCTGGCCTCTAAAAAACATTCTACCAAGCAACATGTTGCTCTGTAGTTCTGGGACACTGAGTAGCAGATGTCCTTGGGCCATGGATGCACTCCCTGCTGAGGACCTAGAAGTCAAGCACAGTGATGAGACACAGAATAAGCTTGGTTTGCACAGTGGGAGGTTTTCTGGTGGGAACCATCCTTAGGTGGGTTTAATTAAATCCTTTGAGAGGTGATGATGGGGAAAAGTTTACTTAATTCCTCAGACAGTGAATGGCCATAGATTTTCATTCTGCATAGAGTGAATCAAAGTTAGATCACAAAGGGCCAAATCTGCTTTCTTCACATAATAAAATATCCAGCAGGTCCTGAAAGGTATTTCTGCACGGTAGATGTTGTAAACTCATGTTGGACATTTTCTGCATTGTGTTTAAAAGGCCAAAGTGTACCTATATACAGACACCTGCTACATAGTATACCCACAATATAAACAGGAGGTTGACGTCTAACTCACAGAGGTCCACCTGCCTCTGTCTCCGGAGTCCTGGGATTAAAGGAATGTACCACTACTCTGAGCACTGTTTTCTGTTTTTCTTAATCATCGTTGACATGAGCTTGTTTCTTTATACTGAGCAAGCTACATTTTGTTTCAAATGAATCAGGTATGTATTCCAGGGTTTTTCAACCCTCTAAACAAATTGTATGTCGGCATAACAAATGCCCTTATCCTCTGTCTCTTTCTGACCAGAGGAGAAGTCCATACCTACAGGCACAAGGGACTTGACCAGGAAACTCCATTTTATTTTGAACATATTCGCTGCTACCCAGCCTTTCCCCTGTTAGATAGGAAGGCAGAGGAGAAAAATGACCATGGGAGAGAGGTTTGGACAAGAACAGGTTGAATATAATCCTTGATGCACTTGCAAAAGGTCAGTTGTTTTCTCTGTGAAACCTGGAATCTTTGTCAGACCCCATATCAGAAATACTGTTGAACCACACTTCAAGATCCAGGGCTAAGCACAGTCCTGCCACCAAGAGCCCCAGGAGAATGTACATATGAACTGAATTTTGCCACTAGAGCATACCCCATGCCAGTGGACTTTATGACCAGCTGAGATTTAATCAAGCATCAGTAACTGGCACTGAAGTCCTCCCAGGACCTAGAGCAGTGGTTCTCAATTTTTCTAATTCTGCAACCCTTTAATATAGTTCCTCATATTTGAGTGACCCCCAACCATAAAATTATTTTCATTGCTACTTCATAACTGTAATTTTGCTACTAGTATGAATCGTAATGTAAATATCTGATATGCAGGATATCTGATGTACGACCCCTATGACAGGGTCATTCAACCCCCAAAGGGGTTTCGACCCACAAGTTGAGAATCACTGATCTAGGACAAACAAATCTAAGCATCACAATGCAAGACCACCTATTCAAATGAGCTGCTTACTTAATAGCACAGCAAGGCTTCATGGATCTAGACCATTTCTGTTTCCGCTGTAGGTCAGCATCCTCAATGCCGAAATTCAGAAGTGGCATCTCTATCCAGCTAGAATTAAAACCACAGATTTCATGCTATGCTCAGAAATCTAGACACTCAACTGTAAAAGCATAAATTGGAAGTAAAGACAGAAGAACATGTGACGGTTTCTCACGCTTAATTTACTTTGTTTTCACCTTTAATTTCAGTACCATTTTAAAGGATAGAATGTAGAACAAAGCCCTTTCTATTGTGACGATGAAACTGAAAGGCTAAAATGTGGGGCGCTGGTAACTGTGAGTTATTAAAGAAATGAGCAGGATGAACATGTCGCGTGAAAACCAATGCCTCTTGTTAGCACCATGGCAACCCTTCCCCCAACCTTACTGATGCATTCATTTCGGGAAATGCCATCGTGTGTGGACAGACTTTACCCCTGCTCAACCACAGTGGAAGTTTAGTGGTCTTCAGAAGGAGGAGGGGCCTTTACCAGTCCCAGTCCCAGCTGTCTCGTGAGAAGCAACCTTACCTGTCCTTGGAATTAAGCTACTAGAGAAAAAGGGTCACAGAGGCCTGGAAGAAGCCAGTGCTGCTGGGCTGAGCACCATGTAAATATCTTCTGCCTTCTAGGTGAACAAGGATGATCACCTTTCACAGAGATAACTCTGTGTGTGTGTGTGTGTGTGTGTGTGTGTGTGTGTGTGTGTGTGTGTGTGTGTGTGTTGTGACTGTAGCTTGTGAAAAAAATGCAAAAGTTTGCTTTGACAGCTTCCCAAATGTTCAGTGTGAATGTGCCTGCCTTGTTGCCTCATGTGCCCAACACAGTACTGGATGCATTGTTTTTAAATAAACTGTTTTATTGTGCATTGGAAAATGCTGCTGTCTGTCTCTGTCCCGTACAGAAAGCCCACACATCTATCAGCACTAACACACACTCCCAAGTAAAACAAATACATTGCCTTCTTTTCACTTCCAGTGAGGCCTTCTCCTGGAAGCTTGTAGGATAAGTCCACACAGGTTGTCCCTGGCTTTCCATAGCCATGAACCATCAGTGAACGCCAAAAATGCCTGAATACACTTTCTCCATAGGACCCTTGAATGATATGACTACTAATAATGCATTACTCCTGACAATTAGCAATTATAGGCATCATCATTTTATTTCATTAATAATTGAATGACCCACAAGGTTGGGGAAGGAGCTCAGTTGGTAGAGTTCTTTCCTAGAGTGCACAAAATCCTGGGTTCAATCTACATAAATTAAGTATGGTGTCATACACCTATAATTCTAGTACTCTGGGGGACTCAGAAGCACCAGAAGGTCAAGGTCATCCTTGGCTACATATTGAGTTCAGGCCAGTCTGGGTAGGGAGGGGGAGAGTGAGAGAGAGAGAGACAGAGACAGAGACAGAGACAGAGAGACAGAAAGAGAGAGAGAGAGACAGAGAGAGAGAGAGATGGGCAAGCCAAATGTAGTGGTGTATGCCTATACACCACTACATTTGGCTAAGTATCCCAATACTTAGAGGCAGGAAGTTCAGGAGTTTAAGGTCCTCCCCAGTGACATGAGATCCATCTCAAAGATGACAGAACTGGGTGAGAAGAGCTCAATAGTAGCACATTTGCCTAGTGTGCACGAGATTTTGAGTTCAATCTCCAAGAGGGAGGAGTTCC